GTGAAAGAAGCGTAGTGTGCCAACCTGACCCTCATATGCATGCTGCGCTCCAAACATACATCAACATCCCCCAGGAGACAGAGCGCAGAACACCTCACCTGTACCAGACGAGGACTGAGCGATACCGAATAACCATCTCAACCTGAGCTATCTCCTTCGGACCTCCACAGGACATAACGTAATCGAAGCTACAATGCAGCAGTTCATAACAGCTGTTCTTTAACAGGCCGGACTGCAACCAGTTCAGCAAGACGTACTGCGACTGCACGTAGTGCAAGTATGTAAGCATAGCGTCCCTAGACAATCTCAGTTCATTCTAAAGCCTTTATCTGAGAGTTTGACTTATCTAGTATCCCATCTCTGTTAGTGCTACCTTAAACCATACTCTCATAAACTATATGAGTGCGGTTGAACAAAAGCCTTCAAATCACTATGCGAACATCCGATATCCTGGCACTATCAGCACATCTCACCTCCGTCTAGTATCTACCGACGCCATCACAGCAAACAATATCTATCGCTTCTAATTATCCTTTGAATGTTAATGATGATATTAAAGTTCTAATACTCGACTCTATGGTCTAGAATATAATCGTAACATTATGTCTATCAGTATCTCTCCTAGCTTATGTACTTAATACTTCACCTTTGCTATCTATTGCCATGTATTGTTATTTGTAAAGTTGCTAAAGTACTTCACAACGGTTCTGATGAACTCTGAAACAGATTTTTAATTGCACGAGTTTCATCACTTGTGAAAGCTACATGCATTCTTGACAGCAATTGACTTATGTCGTATTATTCCACCATATTCATCCTATACGATACTGAGTGCATGATTGCTCTATTGATGTCCATAATTGGTCAGAGGTTACAAGTGATAGGTCCTGGCTTTGTCATATTTGACTCTTATTCGTGTAGGCCAATTGTCGCTAGTTACACGTTTCAATTACATGTTATACATGGCGTATGATTGGTATAGTGTACCCTTATAAAGCTACGTGACCCGTCCTGTCCAGAGGGCCATCGCTGCGAAATGCGGGTGAAGTGTATGAATTATATATAACATTGTGCCTCTTCTTTGTTATAAGGAGGGAGTCCCCAATCCTCACTGTGCCCGAAAACATGTACGCTAGTGTGAACAGGCGTGTGTTATGCCGATAGCTCCTCACAGCTCAGGATAGCATCCTGTATCTCAGAATGTACTCCCTGAGCTGGTCAGAACATGTTGTATTGGTCATGAGCCAGCTGAGTGCATGGGAATCAGTAAGTGAGCTAGGTGTGCATATCTCTGTAACATCACATATCTGAATCAATACATTCTCACACTAAAACCTTAGTAATACCAGAGCCAACCACACGTCAATCATCAGAGGATAAGTATAGCAAAAGAGCTATCCTAATTACTTTTCTCACACGCCTTAAGAGTAACTTATGAGATCCACTTCATGTAAAGCCCTGTCATTTCAAGGTTATTCTCTTCATAGTAAAATCTGAAAGTTATTACATACACCCAAATACAAAGGCAAACTATATTACATCTAGATAATTACATCATCCAATACAGAAAAACCATGAGCCAGTTATTCGTGTATAACTCTATCCACTATCGAGCCCACTCAAGCACACTTTCGTCTATGAGTCGTACATTCCTTCATAGTTCCTCATCTATGATTTATTATTTACCAGCTCCATTATTCCACATATTCAATTGCAAAATCCTGCAATGTCTTGCCAACATCCATATCTGAATCTCAAGCTCGGTTTCCTAAACTGGATGCAATATCCTATCCATGAGCTGGATACAAAATACCCCCGCATATGTACGCCGTCCTCCCAACGAGCTCGTACCATAGATTGTCGCTGCGCGAGAGAATCAACTTGCCGGTATTGAATCTCCAGACTAACTAGTGACACTTATATAGGATAAGTACACCCGCTGTTATCTTGTCGACAAACCTCTCTCTACCAACATGACAGCTAATCTACTTGTAGCTTTTTTTATTCCTTTTCCTCCCTTGACTCCTAAGTGATAATAGACAATAGTTCAACAGATGCCCAAGCAAGAATCGTCCCCGTTGCGCGTAGTGAGATCAAAACAAAAATGCCCAACTCAACTGCGACTTACCCTCTATCTATCTCAGCTTATTCTTCAACCTTTTTCTTTCTCACCGCAGCATATTTCAATGTGTGAATGAGACTGGAAATACAATTGCATAACCCAATCCCTGTTATACATATGTGAATATCTCCACTATTCTCATAAACTCATGCTCAATTTAAGAGAACATAATCGTGTTGATATCATAGTTTGATATAATATATTACTATATAATATAACTAAATTATTAATCATATAATATATAATATATATAATATTTATATACTTTAGTATATATAGATCGCATATAATTATTTATTCGACATTTAAAAAGATACACTGTTCTGTACATTCATCACTGAAACATTTTTTATATATTTCATAAATCTAAAGGAATATCAATATAGCAAAATTTAGTGTTACAACAAATAAGGGTAAATTATAATGCTAATTTATAAATGGTTTGTATGTTTAAATGCAAGCAATTAATTTGGGGAAAGCAATAAGTTCGTTATTCTAACAATTTCTCGTTAGACGAGTCCTTGCCTTCCTCCATGTAACAGGTAAGCTTAGTGCTAGTATATAAAATCACATTTTACCCTCATATAATAGATTTTAATACTTGATATGTATATTAACATAACAGTTTAATCCCTTTGTATTGATCCATGGTAATCAGATGAGTCCTGGCCTTCCTCCATATAACAGAGAGGAGAAATGGTGGAGAAAACTGGAGAGAGCACGCCATAATGCCTTGTTGATAGGGGACATTTGTTACTTCTTTTAATGGTCCGGAGATACAGTAATAGAAGTAGTCGCAGGTGACAATTCCAGGGTATCAATGAATAGATAGAGAATGGAATTAGTTATTAGAGCGAAGTTTAAGAGAAGAAAATTATAAAGGAAAGGAAGGGAAATAATCGGCTTATAGCCTAAGTAAAATCATGAAAGGAACACGGTTAGACTGGATGTGAGGGTCTCGATTTCGTCTCACGTATGTTTTTTGTTTATTAATATAATTTTGATTTCTAATTAATAGGAAAAGGAGGGTACAGGATTAATCTTAGATATGAATTGAATTATTTGAGATTATTGCTTATTTTAAGTATTATGTGTATTACTAGATTTACAGAATGATATGCCATTTGTTCATCGTTTGGTTATTGAATAAAATACTAAGGGTCACAAATGTTTCTATGACCATTATAGTAATAGGCACACTCAACAGAGGAATTAATTCATTCCCACACCCACGAGCCTTAAAGACCGTTAGGTTATGCTACCACAAGATTTAATGGTACATTAAATCATTAAAAACAGGCCTACATTTAAATACAATTGGATCATGGAAAACAGTAGTATGATGTTGTTACAAAAACTGAGTAGAATAAAATATGATAGATAAGAATATAAGAAAAATTATTATTTGTACATATACATATATATTCGGATATACGAGATGTGTCAGAAAAGTTCCAGGACGGATGTCGCAAGTGATTTATTTCAAACCCAACATCATAGTAAGAGTTTTCCCCTTCAAAGTAATCCCCCTGGAGTCTAATGCACTTTCTCATCCACTTGCTCATCCGGCTCCTCCAAGACTCTCGCTGCCCAGAATGCAACCCGCTTAAATGTATATATTCACTTTTTTATCTTACCGGTGTCTTTATTTATACGCTGCATAGGTTTTGTAACTCCTTTTATGCATATTTAACTTACCTGCAACTGACAAACACAAAAATATCCTTTGATAACACCAATAAAGGGTCATAAAATTACCCACCAATATCTTGTGGTTACCTGCAACTGTCAATGTTTACATACAAAATCTATCGTGACGTCATCTCGTCCTGCTCGCCCAGGTTCGCAGGAGGGTGAGATGGACGAGATGGACAATTTGTCCTGGATGAGATAGTAGAGGTTCCGAACGGTCAAAACATCTCTTGCAACTGGTCTGGACAAGCAGAACGAGCAGTTCCGAACGCAGCATATGTGTCCAAAGCATAATTACTTGCCTAATTAGCTCGATATGGTATACGTGCTCATTATTTTTTCGCTTTACAATATGATGGTACTCTACTGAACTAGCTAATCCTAACAAATCCTAAGTAAACGCCTCCTCATGTGACACGTCACCCTTCTCATGACATGTTCTTGTTACACTCATTTTCCATGCATATTAGTAAGGTGACTCACATATGTATTATCCTCCTCCTTAGCCCTTTTACTGGCCTGGAATGCTTATATCTCAGCCTCTGGAGACGATGTGAGCCTTCTTACCAAGTTTGTAAATACAAACCGAAACGTGTGCACAAAAATGAAAAGAAAGCACCCATATCATGAAAATGATATGAAATTGTAACGTTTTGAATTCGTTTGACGCATAATTAACCGAAATGGATATATAGAAAGATATATATATATATATATATATATATATATATATATATATATATATATATATATATATACACATATTTAGCATATATTTGTGTATATATGTTTGACAATGGATGACTGTCAGTAGTCACAGGTCGCTAAAGTACATGCATGCATATGTCAGCATACAATGCAAAGAACCTGCACTTCAGTTATCTGTTATTTGCATTTATGGTTGCTGCAAATGCACTTTTACTGATTGCTATACCTGGATAATTTCACTCGACATCAGGCTGATCGGGAGTCGTCCGTCGGTGTCGGGAAGGAAGAGGTTCCCCCCCATGTGGAGGGCGAGGGCTCTGGCCGTGCCGAGATGCCCTCCGTCCAGGGCAGCGTGCAGGGGCGTGGCGTCCTGGTGGTGGCGGGACACCGCGGAGCCGCCGCTGTTCCAGATCCACCAGGCCAGAGTGGAGGCCCCGCCCCTGGCTGCGCGGAAGAGCAGCGCATCCAGAGAGTCTGAGGAGCCGGCGGGGCGCTCGAGCGCGGCCTCCCACGGCCTCTCTCCGTCCAGGGCCTCCAGCAGCGCCCGTGCAGCTGCCTGAAGGGCGTCATCCAGGGGCTGCATCTCCATCGCTATCCGGTCTCTGACAGCCTGTGTTTCCAGAATTAATTAGTCAGATGTACTGAAATCGGTGAAACCTTCCTTTTCTACTCACATTGATATAAACGACAGTTGCAGTTCAGGCTGAACTTGCAAAGTATCGTAAATATTTATATAGATTCATTATCTATCCCATGTCAGTAGACATTTAATGTCACTCAGACTAACTTCTTTTGCAATTCCCGACTTTAAAACTAAGATGATACAGCTACTGAATATGACAGTGTTCGCTCTGATGCTGCATTGACTCTGTGTCTTAACTTCTATGAATAAGCTAGACCTTTGCCTTTCATCGGCTAGGTAATTTCCTAAAGGAGTTAATTAATTAGCATAGATTATCTAAAACCCCTCCATTGGTTTGCGGTTTTGCTTTACCTCTGCCTGGCGTCAAATGAAAGCTCTCGTGCCTGCACGTAAACGCACGCCACGTACCCTGGTGACCAGCACAGCGACCCAGGTGGTGATGTCGGGCGTGAGCCACGCGAGCTGCACCGGGCCAAGGCCGTCCCTGGTGGCCGTGAGCGGCGCCCCGGCGGCCAGAAGGAGGGCAGGAGGGGAGTGCAGTTGGCGGTGATGGCGAGGTGAAGCGGGTAGCAGGTGTGGGACCCGGGAGGCTCGAGCGGGGCGCCCGAGGTCAGGAGCGACGATGCCTTCCTCACGGCCGACAGCGACGGGTTCTGACCCTTGGGGCTGGCGTCCGTGGACTCGAGGTCATGAGGTGTTGTTGCTGCATAGGCATTGTAGTATGCGGTTTCCGTTATCAGGCTAAGCAGAGCTACAAACAGCTCTTCAGGACTCTGAAAGTAGATGGCATAACCTATGCTCAGTGCCAGGGTAAAGAATTTATCATAGACGAAGCAAGTCGGCCATGCACTATTTAATATCAAGTAAAGGTTACGATGAAAGCAACTTCCATTGCTACTCTGTACTTACTCCTTTGGTTTCACAAATGTAATTGCTGATCATATTGTAAGCCTGCAAGTGACCTTTCTCGCGGGCAAAGTCGCTGGGAGTCTTGCCGTTGAAGGTGAGAGCCGTGGGCAGGGCGCCTCGCTCCAA